CTAAGAGACGCCAAAAATTCCACCAGAAAACTCCTAGAAATTATTAACATGTGCAGTAATACAGCAGGTTACAAAATTAATCTACAAAAGTCTGTAGCCTTTCTATATACCAATAACAAGCAATCAGAGAAAGAGCACATAGAAACACTCCCCTTCACAATAGCTGCAAAAAATAAAATATCTCAGAATAAACCTGACCAAAAATGTTGAAGACCTCTACAATGAAAATTTCAAATCTTTAAAGAAATAGATTGAGGAAGTCATCAGAGATGAAAGGACCTCCTATGCTTATGGATTGGAAGAATTAATATTGTGAAAATGACCATCCTACCAAGAGTCATATATAGATTCAATGTAATGCCAATTAAAATCCCCATGACCTTTTTCACAGAATTGGGAAAAACCATCCTAAGATTCATATGGAAGCACAAAAGAACTCAGATAGCTAAAGCAACCCTGAGCACTAAGAGCAATGCTTGGGGAATTACTATACCAGATATTAAACTGTATTACAGAGCTATAGTCAAAAAACAACATGATACTGGCACAAAAATAGACCCATAGATCAATGGAACAAAATTGAAGACCCAAATAAGAGTATATGCAATTTAGGCCACCTGATATTTGACAAAGGGGCCAAGAACAATCACTGGAGGAAAGACAGTATGTTCAGCAAATGGTGCTGGCAAAACTGGATCTCCACCTATGGAAGAATGAAACTAAACCCCTATCTTTCACCCTGCACAAAGTCAACTCCAAATAGATCAAAGACCTCAATGTGGAGCCTGAAACTGTGAAACTGTTAGAATAAAACATTAGCAATAACCTACAAGATATAGGTGTAGGAAAGGATTTTCTAAACCAGACATCAATTGCCCAGGAAACAAGGTCAAGAATCAACAAATGGGACCTCATTAAACTAAAAAGATCCTGTACATCAAAAGAAGAAACCAAGGAAGTGGAAAGAAAACCCACAGAATGGGAGAAAATCTTCACCAGCAACACATCTGACAGAGGTTTAACATTCAAAATATATAACGAACTCAAAAAAACAAAGAATCAAGAAAGGAAGTAACCCAATTAAAAGATGGGCTAAGGAACTGCGCAGAGCGTTCTTAAAAGAAGAAATAAAGACAGCTAAGAAGCATCTTAAAAGGTGTTCAACATTACTAGTAATTAGGGAAATGCAAATTAAAACCACTTTAAGATTCCACCTCACCCCAGTCAGACTGGCTAAGATCAAGAGAACAAATGATACCAAATGTTGGAGAGGATGTGGGGAAAGGGGAACACTCATCCACTGCTGGTGGGACTGTAAACTTATTCAACCCCTATGGAAAGCAGTATGTAGAACTCTTAAAAAACTACAAATGAACTTACCATTTGACCCAGTTACACCACTCCTTGGCATATACCCAAAGAACTTATCCTATTGCAGAGACACTTGTACATCCATGTTTGTTGCTGTTCTTTTCACAATAGCTAAGAGATGGAAGCAACCTAGGTGTCCCTCAATTGATGAGTGGATAATGGAAATGTGGTTCATTTATATGATGGAGTTTTACTCAGCAGTAAAGAAAAATGAAATCATGAAATTTGCAGGTAAATGGATGGAACTAGAAACTGTTATACTAAGTGAAGTAATACAGACTCAGGGGAAAAAAGGATGGCCTCCATCATATGTGGATCCTAGCACCAAATCTTGATAAGTGATTATGTATCCAGACATAACTACAGGAACAGGGTAGGAAATAGGCATTAATAAGGAAGATATGGCTATAAATGGGGTTATTTTAAAGGGGGGGGAGGGAAGGTTATACAAGGAACCTAGGGAAAGAAGAAGCTCAAGAGAGATGGGATCATAGGAAAAGGGTATTATTAAGGGAGAAATGAGATAAATGGGGGCACCTTAAATGGGGAAACCATGGTGGAAGGGTTAGTCAAGGCAAGAGATAAATAATGCCTAGCTAGTTTTTAAAAAAACAGAGGGAACTATATTAGTCCAACAACCCACTGACAAATTATACATACAACTAGATCAAAAAATATATGTCTAGGCAAGGTTTATTTGAGAACAACTCGTCTTTGCCCAAGATTTATCTACATGACACACAGTAATTAAAAGTACAAGACTGGTGGAACTAATCTTCTTGGGTGTTTAACAGACATACTCTGAGGTCTATAATAATTTGGTCAGAGGGACATAAAGGACACTTTTTGCTCCTTGCCCTCCTAGGTCAACTAGTTTCCAAGGGAATATAAGCATCGCTCAAAATGTCCTGTAACTATCGTGAGTCACCTGTCCTCTTGATCAAGGAGGCCATGGAGAACCCACCAGATGGACTTGAACCAGTGTCCATTCTACAAAGAGGAGGGTCAACACAGAGGAAACATTTCCTCCATGCTTCCAAGTGAAGCCAACCATGGTTGAGCAGGACCTTTGACTTATCTTCACATAGACAGAACTGGTAAAAGAAAGGAGAAAGGGGCTCCTCCCAAGCCCATGTGACCCCTGAGGAACAGATCCTCAAATGACCTTAAGAGTAAAAAACAAATTGGTTTATCTGGGCCAATTTTAGGGTCTTAAACACCTAAAAGGAAAGTATAACCAAAGATTAAAGGTGTCAATATAAGTTTTTAAGAGTACATATGTATAGCTAAGGTCTACATAGCAAGAAACAATGCCAGACAGGAGATACCTTCCTTTGAGTTATTGGCCAGGGTAGCCCAAAAGACTCCCAGACAGTAACCCAGGTTAGGAACTGGGAAAATGAACAGCAGACCCCAATCTTAGCTAAAGGAATATGGACAACTGATTGCTGCTAGATGAGGAACAGATGATCTTCCTAAAATAAGGATCTCTAGATAGGCAAATAGATTCAGCAGATGGACAAGCACTGGGGAATGGCTGGGGGCACTGACAACACAGTGGACAGTAACAGGGATGACATAGTATATGGGCTCCAGTGGGGCAAGGGAGGCTATGGGAGGGTGCCATTTGGGAAGTGGGCATATAGATGAATAAGGTTGTTTTGGATGTTCGGTATGATATACACACAAAAAAATCAACAAATAAAAAAATAACTTATTTTTTAAAAGTATTTGTCTCTTAAATATAAAGGCTGCATTGTAGATGTGTCACTTAGGCCTGGGCATTTCATAGACAGTGTCTGTGTGTGACTAGTTGTAGTATGTTGTAATAATCTTCATCTGGTGCAAAAGAAGCTTCTTTGATGAATGGTGAGTGCAATATTTACAGAACATAGAACAGGGGTAAAAAGGTCATTAATGAAACTCTGAACTCTCATTAATGAAGCTCCCTCATGCAACAGAGGACCAAGGACACAAAAGGTCACAAATGGCCAAAGTGTATAGATTAAATCTGCAGAATCCTGGCTCTTGGATAGGACTCCTATATTAAACTTTACCTACCCAGGGCTCAGGGACTGTGGCCGTCTGTTCAGGCCGCCTTCACGGTTTCCGCCATCACTGCCCGATCCTGGACACCAGGGCTGGTGAGGAGGCTGTGTCAGCTGCACTCAGACACAGGAGACCAGGTTCAGAGATGCAGATCTACTTTATTGAGGAAACAGTGAGCTTATATAGGGTTTTTAAGTCATTCAGGAGAGAGTACAATGATCAGTTCATGCATGGGCAGGTAGCTTAGGTTTTGGTTTACAGTTTTGTTTTACTGATCAGGAGTAGTATTCCTGTAAATCATGTGATCAGCCCTGTAAGGGAGGGGTGGTTGATTTCCTGGGGTTTGGGGGGACATCTTGTGTCTTAAAAAGCTGTTTATCAAAGCAAACTAACATACTCCAACATCTCCCCCTTTTTGTTTAAAAGATGGGCTACTTTGAGGTCCAAACTGGGAGTCCAAACTGGGGCCGTAGCAAGCCTGGTGTGATATAAAGAAGGAAGAGATCTACTGGATGAAGCAATCTGGGGCAATGGCTAGACCATCTTGGAGTGTGCTCACAGACCTGAACGGACAAGCCTGTTGGCATCATCTCATCTGAGCCAGGGCCTTCACATGTATTTTCAGTCCAGGATTCTCTAAGATCAACATTTGCATTGTCTGAGCCAAGGTAGTCCCCAGAAAGGCTCCCAGCAGGACAACCCAAGTTGTTTTAGGCCCATTGAATGGCTGTGGCCATGATTTTTATCCTTTTTAAACCTGGGTATGGGCATGACTGGGGGTAGGGGGTAAGAAGCAAGGTAGTGCCATCATAAGTTGAATCATAGCAAGCCAGTCTGTAATAAAGTTAAGTAAGGCTCTTAAAAGAATTGAGCCACAGGTTAAGGCCAGAAGAAGAAGGGCCAGAGGCCCAATTAAGGCAGAGAGGAGTGTTGTGAGCCAAGGAGAAGACTGGAACAGTGACTCAAACCAGTTTCGGTTCTTTACCCTGGTCTGTTCTCTCTCTAAGATCCTTTTGCAGACTAAGCTCAAGGAGTCCCTATGACACCAGAATTATTAGCATAGAGACAGCACTGTTCTCCTAGAGCAACACATAATCCTCCTTGTTGAAGGAGCAAGAGGTCCAGGCCCCTCCTATTTTGTGAGGTGACCTCGGCAAGGGAGGACAGGGAACTCTCAAGATGTTCTATAGCAGTTTGTAATCCTTTTAAGTCTGAATCAATAGCCATACTAAGGGCATTATAATTTTTGTCTTGTAGGATCAGTCCTGATGTTCCTAACCCTAGGGTGCTGGCAACACTGATCCCCAAAAGAGTGGTCCCAGCAATCACCAGGGCAGCTGCCCTCTTATGGCATGAATGTTCCAATGGGGAAAGCTTAAGGTCCATCTCATTCCCTGAATAAAGGTTGGCGGTTGGAGTTAGCTAGGCTAGCAGGCACCATGAGGGGGCAGAACGGTTGAGAATGATTAAGTGGATACAAGAGTGAGCCCAAAAGAACAAGCCAACCAGGCACCAGGAGGAGGTCGTAAGTAAGATTCATTAGAGGGGAGGTAGATGGTCTGGTTACAGAGATGCATCACCTGGAACGTTCTGGCCCTCCTCCATTTGGACGGTCATTGATGGTCAAGTCTCTCATCTGTTGTGTAGGTGGGACTGGCTGGTTCCAGGGCTTGCAGTGTTGGGCTCCCTTCTCTGTGGTTGGGTTTTTGGTTTTGTCACCATCTCTGAGGCCGATACCTCTGGAGTCAGCTGCATCACAGGCAACTCTGATGTTTCAGGCCGGGATCCAGATGGGGACTGGAACATTATCTGGAAAGACACAAGCATAGCCTCACCCTTGTGTTAGCAATAAGTGTGGGTCCTTCCATTCTCCTGTGAGGGGGTCCTTCCATCTCACCATGGGGGTGGGAGTGGGATGAGTGAATGTCGCTCAATGCTTTATTGCTGGTGGGAGGCCATTGGAGTAAAATTTTAAGAAATTTAGGGTGAATAACGCTTGTTGTATAACAAAATTGGGATCCTTATAGCGGGGGCCTTTGTCACCATCTCCCCCTATTTTCTGTATTTGTTTAATGAGTATTTGATGGGAGCATTCAATGATTCTTTGGCCCTGAGGATTATAGGGGATGCCAGTAATGTGTTGAATATTCCAGTCAGCACAGAAGCAGGGAAAAGCCATGGATGTGTAGCAGGGGCCATTATCTGTTTTTAATTGCCAGGGAACCCCTAAAAGGACGATGGTGTGTTTAGCTGTTTTTATGGCATGGGAGGCAGTCTCGCCAGAGCAGGCCAAAGCAAAGTGGGCAGCAGAGTAAGTGTCAATAATATGATGAATGTATTTTAGTTTACCAAAGGGGGTAAATGAGTTATGTCCATTTGCCAAATCTTATTAGGACTGAGGCCTCTGGGGAGAGTTCCAGCAGGTTGTAATGGCCCCAGGGGCACAAGGGGGGGGGCACACAAGGAGCACACACAGACCAGATGTTTGCAGCTCTGGATCGTCAAAGGAGGTAGGAGACTATGTATAGCTTGGGGAGAAAGATGGAAGCGGGCGTGTAAGTCCCTGGCTTGTTGTAAGAGAGCAGGATCCAGGGTAGCATTCATTCATCACTAGTCTGTCAATGGTAGCATTGCCTTCTGCCAGAAGCCCTGGAAGACTGGTATGGGAGAGCAGGTGTTAAACGTACCAAGGGGCGGAGCGCTGCTCAAGCAGCATTTGCAAAGAGGAAAGCAATAGATCAAGGGGGCTATGGCGAGGTTGGTAGGCTGCAAATGCAAGATTTTGTATAGTTTGGCTCACATAGGCACGGTCAGAAAATATACTGCATGGGGTTGTGGGGAAATCTTGTAACATAGCAGACAACTCTCCAAATTGTACCAATCCTTGAAAAGAAAGGATTTTTTGTGAAGAAAGCTGTCCCTCATGGAAGACCACGTAACCAAATTTATATTTGCTAGAATCTGTGAAGATTAGAGGAGCCTCAGGAAGGGGATTGCATTTTGGAAATGCCTGGGGAAATAAAGACAAGGGAAGCTGTTTTAATCCTTGGAGGAGTCTATGCTGGGGGTAATGATTATCATATTTTCCCTGATAAGTTAGTATGAGAGTCTGAAAGCCAGGGTTGTCAAGAAACAGTGCTTGGATCATGGGGAGTGGAAGAGGGAGGACCAGTGACTCTGGATCACAGCCATATAGAAGGCGGGAGGTTTGAACGAGTTTTAGGGATATTGTTGCCCAGGCCTCAATTACAGGAGTGATTTTATGCAATTGAATCCAAGAAGAGTGGACCCATATCAATGGTCCCTGGGCTTGCCAAAGTGCTCCCATAGGGGTGTTTTTTGTTGGAATGACTAAGGCCTGGATAGGCTGTCCAGGTTGTACCTTGTTAACGAATGCTTGAAACAAGTGTGTATTTATTATTGTTATAGCACGTCGTATTTATTATTGTTATAGCACGTCAAGCCTCAGGCGAGAACTTGTGGGGTGGAGGCTGTATCAGTGCCCTGCAAGAGGTCAAAGAGTGGTGTAAGCTCTTCTGGGGACATGGGTAGAAAGCCCTGTATCCAATTTATGTTGCCACAGAGGGTCTGTGCCTCAGAGAGGGTGATTTTATTGGGTAAGGTAAGAGCAGGGGCTATAGGGCAGATGACATCTTGGATAGAATGGCCCAGAAAGGTATATGGGGCATGTAACTGAATTTTATCTGCAGCAATAGTGAGGCCCAGCGCTCGGAGATTTGTTTCAAGTTTTTGTAAAGCTCCTTGTAGGATCTTGGGGTCCTTATGGGCAAAAAGAATGTCATCCATATAGTGTAAGATATACACGTCGGTCAACAAAGGCCTGCATGCATGGGCCATATAATATTGGCAAATGGTAAGGCTGGTTTTCATTCCTTGTGGAAGGACCTTCCATTGATAACGTTGGACTGGGAGATTGTGATTGGTGGTGGGCACAGAAAAGGCAAAATAAGGCTTATCATTATCATGGAGAGGAATGGAGAAGAAACAATCCTTAATATCTATTATAATAATTGCACATTCTTTAGGAATGGCAGTTGGGTGAGGCAATCACAGTTGTAGGGTTCCCAAGGGCTCCATGTGGTCATTAATAGCCCTTAAGTCATGTAAAAGTCTCCATTTCCCTGACCTTTTTAGAATAACAAAAATAGGAGAATTATGGGGGCTAAGAGAGGGCTCAGTATGACCCAAGGATAATTGTTCTTGGGCCAAAGTAATCAAGTGAGTTAGCTTATGTGAAGGGAGAGGCCACTGCTCCACCCAGGTCAATTTAATGAGGGGTGGTTTGGGCAATGGGGCAGTAGCCATTAGAATTGGGGGTGAGGATGGGGTGCATTTCCTGTGCACTGGTTAACAATGCAATCATCATAAAAGGCTTTGTCATCAGTGGTCAGAACAACATCCATGCTAATAAGAATATCCTTCCCCCACAGATTATAAGAAGGCCTATGGCTAAAAGCGGCTTAATTCCTCCAGTGTTGACATCCGGATCAGTCCAGACCACAGGGCGTTGGACCTGTTGGGTGTTTTGTAAGCCTCCAACCTCTTGTATGGGAGGTCCCAGCTTGCAGTGAGGCAATGCCTCTTCCTGTCTAATTATTGTGACATCGGCCCCAGTATCAATTAAGCCCTTAAATTTATGTCCATCCAGGGTAAGCTTCATTCTAGGCTTATGTAGATCAGTAGGCACTGTCCATTGGACATGGGAGATGGGAGCCCCTATTTCCTCTCTTTAAAGGAAGGGCTGAGAGGTGCCCCACTAGCTGTTTAAAGGCCCCTTTTATATGGGATTACCATCCATGTCCACCTTAGACCTGCACTCTCTCGCCCAATGAAAGCCTTTACGGCACGTTGGACATTTTGAAGGAAGAACCTCACTTTTGTTAGCCTCTTTAATGAGTTTGTGAGGACAGGTGAGAGACCAATGGCCCTGTCCCCCACAGGCCTAACATTTGCCCTTTTCTGTACTGGTCTGGGGCTGGTGAGCAGCCAGTGCCTCAGCGAGGGCAGTAGCTTGTGCCCGAGCAGTCCCCATGTCCTGACAGACTAAAATCCATTCCGATATATCCTTATGATGCACAGGCCCTATGGCCAGGTGACATTCAGTGGAGCAGCCCTCATATACAAGATCTTTAAGCAAGGCATCAGCAGCGCCCTCCCATGACTGATTTTTCTGTTTACATTTTGTTGGCATCTCTCAACGAAATCAGAGAAAGGCTCGCCTGATTTCTGTACGAATTTGGTTAATTTGGTATTTAGCAAGGCACCAGTAGCCCCCCTGCCCCATGACTGATTTTTCTGTTTACATTTTGTTGGCATCTCTCAACAAAATCAGAGAAAGGCTCGCCTGATTTCTGTACGAATTTGGTTAATTTGGTATCACTGTGTGCTGGCATACTTTGAAAACCACGCAGCGCGCAGAGTCAGACCTGTTCAAAATAGCAAGAAGGCCCTTGTGCTTGAGCCTGGGTAGTTTCAAAATTGCCACGCCTTACTAGGGCATCAAACCTTAAATTTTGAACATTGGCACATCTATTGCACTCTGCTTGTTGTTCACACTCATCTTGATAAGCAGCCTTCCATAAGAGGAAGTCACCTCCCTGAACACAGGCATGGGCAATATGCTGTCAATCATAGGGAGTATTGGCGGCATGGCTGATTGTATTTAAAAGTTTACTAAACCAGGGGGAATGGATACCATCCTCAAGTGCCACCTTGCACAATATTTTTAAGGTGTCATGCGAATGTGGATTCCAGACATTTGGGTTTTGTTGGCCTTGAGCAATCGTAACAGTGAAGAACTGCGGGGTGTTGTCCTTCGAACCAGACAGAAAGGAGGGTGGGGGAAGGGGCTTCCAGTCTTCCTCTCCCAGAGAGGGGTAAAAGGGAGGGGCTCCCCCACAGCCAGCATGGGATGGAGGCAGATGGCTAATGCCCTGTAACAGCAGAGCAGAGGGTGGTTGACTTCCTGCTTTTTACTAAGGGAGCCTTAAAACCCTAGTCTCTTGTCTTCTGAATCCTCAGCAGTAGACACTGCCTTTTTGTCAGAGCAAGGCTCTGCTAGTTTTACTTTGACCAGGAGTGCTTTGGGCAAGCCATCCATAGCGTCCTGCTGTTGAATTTGTTTATCTCCTTTAAAATAAGATCATCTTGTTCAGGGGCATCAGGGGGAACTCCCCACAGAGAGGCCAGAATGGCAGTTACAATGGGGTAGAACAGCCCAGACTGTGGGTGTCCCTCCTTGACCTCTTTCTTTCTAGCTAAGAATAACACACGAGCCCATTGTTCAGGATCCCAGCAGAAGGACTCTGCAAACCAAGGGGCAAGAGCTAAAACCTCATCTAGCACTTTGGCTACATCCTTTTCTGTTACCTTAATTCACCTGCTCCTGAGGAGAGAAACCAACGCTGCGCATCAGGCCGGCAGCAGCTGGATGACTATTCCCCATTCTGGAGGTCACTTACCCTGCAAGACGTACCCAGAGGGACTCAGGAGCTGGTTAAGGGGATGATTGGCAGAGACAGGAGCGACACACCAAACTGAAGACTGCGAGCCAAAGAGCAGGAACGCAAGGATGATGAGGGCAATCACCCATGGAGAAAGGGGAGAAAAAGACAGCATTCCGTGCTGGAACCTGAGTCAGCGAGGGCCCCACATTTGGGTGCCAGCTGTGGCCGTCCGTTCCAGCCACCTTCACAGTTACCGCTGTCGCTGCCGGCCGATCCCAGACCCCAGGGCTGGTGAGGAGGCTGTATCATCAGAGCCGCATTCAGACACAGGAGACCAGGTTC